CCATTAACCGTCATGGGAACCTCTCTTTTGTTCTTCAGCGGCGCCTTAATTATGCGTGGTGCGGGATGTACTATCAATGATCTTTGGGATCGAAATCTTGACCCTAATGTTACTCGTACTCGACTACGCCCTATCGCGCGAGGAGCTGTCTCTCCATTCAAAGCTTTAGTCTTCACTGGAGGTCAATTATTTGCTGGCCTTGCGGTCCTTCTTCAATTTCCATACCAATGCTTCTTCTATGCTACCCCAAGTTTACTCTTCGTGGCTTCGTATCCATTAGCTAAGCGTGTTACTCATTATCCGCAGTTTGTCTTGGGGTTGACATTTTCCTGGGGCGCGATCATGGGATTTCCTGCTCTTGGAATTGATTTACTGTCCAATAGCGCTGCTATGACCGCAACCGGATTCTTGTATGCGTCGAATGTAGCATGGACAGTCTTGTACGATATGATATATGCGCATATGGATATCAAAGATGATGCGAAAGCAGGAATCAAAAGTATAGCATTACGGCATGATGCTCAAACTAAACAGATCTTGACCGGGCTCGCCATAACTCAGGTTGGATTGTTGACAGCTGCCGGCGTTGCTGTTGGTGCAGGACCAGTCTTCTTCGTTGGTGGATGTGGAGGTGCTGCTGTTACTTTGGCTGTCATGATCAAGAAGGTTAACTTGAAAAGTGTGAAAGATTGTTGGTGGTGGTTTGTTAATGGATGTTTAATAACTGGCGGTACGATTTCCGCCGGCATTGGAGGAGATTACCTGATTCGATACGTACAGAGGGCTGACAATGAGGTACCCGGGGATGAAAATGAGCGAAGAAAGTCATCCTTTACTGTACTCTATGACTACCTGTTTTAGTATGTAATACGATCAAAGCCAATTCGCTGGTTATCCGGGGACTTGAACTAGGGGAACGATGGGGCCCGAAACTTGTTCTGCTTACTGTACCCATTAGTTTCTACAGATAGGGCAAAGAAAGCTACCTATGCGTAATATCAGCAGGATTAAACAACATCTTACCCTCACCAAGTACTGAAGTTCCCTTCGTCTAGAATGCTCGAGACTCGAGATCGTGGCTCGGCAACAGAGCTCCGATCAACGATGATCACAACAAGTACCTAGCAAACTCATAAGCTTTGAGATTCCCACCAAAAAACGGGGACCAAGTTTTCATGCAAACCTCCGAGGGTCCCGAACATCTCTTTTTTGCACTTGGCACTTATATTTTCTGTACTAGGTGGTTTGGGAAGTGTTTTTTCTTTTTTTTCACGAGAAATCTTTCTTCCAACCAACCCGATCAATGAATGAATCTACTTGTACGTTTAAACTTTTAAATGACATGCATACGGAGTAGAAACATCCCACGATATAGCTTTAATAAACCTGTTTCAGTTATATACATACTCATACTCATACTCATTCATATTCCAATAATCGAGATATCCAACCATCAATCTCTTATCAGCCACCAACGTCAAGGGTATCAGAACTGCCGAGAGACCCATTGCTTCCTCGCCTTCTCCAGATCTTCCACCCAATTAATGATGAAAACGAAGCTTGGACGATTTCTTGTTTTTATACTTTCGTGAATCCATCGGAACATTGACATTCTTACAGTACCGCACATACAAGCAGTGCAGGTGGGGTGGTCTGGGCTCATTCGCATCGATGAAATCATTGACATTCGAGACATTCGAGACATTGTTGATGGGAACAAAGAAGAGAGAAGAATTGTTCATTGGAATGTACTATACTACTTGGGTATAGGTATACACAACAGGTGAGGGGATGTTTTCAGCGAATAGAAATGTACAGAGAGAGAGAGAATCGCCCAAGAAGGTTAGAATTAAGTTGGCATCACAGTATTTGTTGCTGTACGAATGAGATGGAAGAACAAGGTTGCGGTAGGGTAGGTAGTAAAATATGACGCCACATGTATGAGGGGAATTCGGACGTACAGTCAATGGCAGTTGATTTCTTTCAGTAACAAAAAAAGAAAAGAAAGAATCATTCCATCGAATATTACCGGTACAGAAATATCCTATATTCCTTCCCTCCCTCACTCCCTCCCTCCCTTCCTTCATTCATACATAACAAAACCCTACATACTCAAGTCAAGTCATCTTCATCCATCCCTTATTTTCTTTGACACTTTCAATATCATTTTCATTGTGTTAAAACGCAACCAAAGCACATCTAGCTATCTAGTACCTACCTACCTATCAATACCAAATACAAATACTCCACCATTCCGTCCCTCCCGCATAATCCGGATCCTACCCTTTCCACCATTTCCTTACGTTAATTAATATTCCACGCTGTACTCGATCCAGTAAAGCTTTCTTCAACCATCGTCATAATCTCTTAGCTTCTTCACCAGTGATAACTCGGTCTTGTGTTGGTCAGGGAAGGCAGTTTAGGAAAAGGTATCATTGGAGATTTAACATCCTTGGAGTCATCACCGATCATCATCATCGTCACACGAATTACAAACTGGATAGCGTAGAGCTTATTCATAGCTCTCATATACATTAATCTCCCTCCTTGAGACTTTGCTTCTTCTTCAATTTACTCTTTTATATCGACAAACAGCTTTCGTATCAAAAGCTCTCTAGACAGAAATATCAACATACACCCTTCTCGCCACATTCAACACCACAAAATCGTTTCAAAATGTTTTCACTGCCACAACTAGTTTTGAGGGTTCTCCAATTTCTCTGCGTCCTCATTGCCCTCGCTCTCGTCGCTTCGGCCATAGATGACCAGTTTTTCGGCAACTCAAGTGTGAACTGGGCCATGTTTGTCGCCGTTTTCTCAATCATTGTCGTTTTCTATGGAATGGCAGCCGCATTTGTAGAGTCGCTAGCACAGCCCATGATCCTGGGTGCGATGGACGGTCTTGCTACCCTTTTCAACTTCATCGCTGGTGTTGTTCTTGCCGCCAGACTCGGTGTACACAGCTGCAGTAACAGAGTAAGTTTGATTTTACAAGACGGGTTGGTAATGATCTTTGCTAACAAACATCTAGGGGTATCTCGTCAGCAACGGCTTGACACAGGGAATGTCAGGAAGATGCCGAGAGCTCCAGGCGGCCACCGCATTTTTCTGGTTCGCTTTTGCCTTGTTCGCTGCGTCCATCGCCATGGACTTTATGGGTGGAGGTTCCAGCATGGCTCGTCGTAGCAACGTTCGCAAAAGCGGACCAACCATGTCCCAAGTCTAAGCAACGAATTGGCAATCAATGGGTTAGTACTCTCCTCCATTGCATTATTTCGATGCTTTATCCCATACTACCTATCGTCGTTGTGTATCTCAACTAACAACTATATCAGATCAAGTGGCAACGAAAGCTTACTATTCGCGGTCAGGGTAATAGGATATTAGGTAGGGCTGAATGCCCATTTTGAATTGCGTTCAAGCGCAAAGCTATGCAAACGATGTTTATGGCTTTACGATTTTAACTTTTAGGAAAGGCAGAAGGGTTTTTGGACGCTATCTTTTGGTGTGTACAATATGTTCGGGAATGTAGACTTAATAATACCATACTTAATAATAAATAAATGTATTCGATGTCTTTTAACATATCGTCCAACACTCTACCATTATATGCACAGTATTGAAAAGTTAGAAATAGGGCGTGTTAATTTTTTGGCAACGAAGGGTAATTTAAACAAGGTGTGTATACTTTCAAACAAACCATCAATCAATAGCTGCGACTACTTCGTTCGATTTTCTTGGAAACAAAACCACTTCTGAAAATGTGTAGATGCATTACCATATGTACTGAGTGAACTAAATCATATACACTTCCTGCTTGTCCTCAAGCGACCCTCTTTATGCAGTGTACCCAGCCGATGTACCACATATCGGCAATATACCCCATATACATCATCTATAAACGCCAATCCCAATGCCATGCTCGCTGTAACTGAACATATCCCTTATGATATACCAAGAACTTTCTTATTGCGTGAAACGTCTGGTGGATGGTGTCTGATATTGCCCTAGTCCACATGTTCACTTGCCCACAAGCTTTTTGTCCATAACTTCACAAGAAAGTCTTTCTTGAATCTGCGACTTGCATTCGTAAATATATCCCCTCTGGTATTGCCTGGCTTCGCATTCGCAGGCGTTAAGGTCGCTAGCTCACAAATTACTCCAACTCCTGGGTTACTCATAACGTAGCTGCGGCTTCGATAGCTCCGGCACCCTTAAAGGTAGGGTTACTGGTTATTTCGACAGTGACTGGATACTTCCACGTCATGTACTTTGCCCAACCTATTCGCAAATACGCGGATGAATTAGCCAATATTCTTTCCCATCTACATGCACAGTATTCGAAGAACGGAGATGATGTTTCCTCCCCTCATCTCCCAATCAAAGACTATCAAAATGCAAACAAACAAAATAAAGACAATAGCATAAAAAATAGGAGAACATACTCCAATAAGCAAATTTCCTTCCAAAGTATTTCCCACACCATGGTACAATCACCATCGTAAGCATCATTTCCAACTGCTGCAAACTGGCTTCCCATTCTTTCTGTGCATCGGATTCTTCTCCATCGTCTGAAGAGGCATAATCTGAACTATCGACAGAGGAAGGCAGAGAATCTAACTCGTGGAGCTCGTCATCTTGAGTGTGGGAGGAGGCATGCATATAGGAATCTGATGCGGAGATGGACATTTTGGGGTAATGGAGGGTCGATTGAACGGCGGTTGAGTGGATGGACGTAGAGAGTTAATTAATTTCCTAGGAAAAGCATAGAAATAACGTGAGAATCGCTATCGCCAAAGAAGAGTCTGGCGATGCATTGAAGTGCGAGAAGAGTCTATAGGGAAGGCTGATAATTGTTTACCTGTCTCGAGGTCATACTTGAAGCTTGAAGTCGGCGCCGATTTGCTTGTGGCGTTGGATCACGTGATGTAGCCTTTGACCTTTAATTTTTAAGGCTAAAAGCTGGCTTTTGAGTCATCGAATCAATTAATACATATCGAGTGAGTGCGGGCAACTTTTATTTCGAACACACACAACTACATCACATTTCGAACAACAACGCCAAAGGAATACTATAGGATTATTCCCATCAGAAGATAATCATCGAAACAATCACTAGCGCAATCATGGCCGACACAGTAAGTTAACAATCGCTCTATGCTTTGTGAATCAATTTCACCCCACCTAAATCTTGATTGTTCTCATTTCAGGCCCGATTTTAACAACGTACCACAGGAAGTTGACGCCAAACCACGCAAATCCGTAGCCTTCAGCGACGGAACTACGATTGTAGACGAGAACGGGGAAGTCACAATGAAGGAAGACGGACACGACGATACTAAAGAAACGGCGCAGTCACATTCACCTAGTACGCCGCCACTTTCTCAAGCTTTGGGCGCATTTACTGATCCTTTCCAAGGCAATGGCGATGATGCGACCGCAACCAAGGAAGATGATGGATTGGGCGATTTGTCGTTGATGAAGAAAAAGAAGAAGAAGAGCAAGAAGGTTGAGGAAGGCGAGGAGGGAGGTGATGAAGCTGCTGCAGATGGTGGTCTCGATCTCTCGACAATGAAGAAGAAGAAGAGAAGCAAGAAGCCCAAGGATACCGAAGATGATTTCACAGCCAGACTTGCAGCTGCAAATCTCAACGACGAAGGCGAGGGTGAAAAGGCGGCAGAGGAAACCCCGGTCGATGATGGTGATATGATTAAGGGAACAGGTATCTGGGCGCATGACGAGACCAAAGTAATTTCATACGAACAACTCCTCTCCAGATTCTTCACCTTGCTCGCAGCCAAGAACCCAGACCACGCATCTTCCGGTTCCAAGAGTTATAAGATTCCTCCTCCACAATGTCTGCGTGAAGGAAACAAGAAGACCATCTTTGCCAATATCGCCGAGATTTGCAAACGTATGAAGAGAACTGATGAGCACGTTACTCAATATCTGTTTGCTGAATTGGGTACCAATGGTTCCGTTGATGGTAGCAGACGTTTGGTTATCAAGGGTCGTTTCCAACAGAAGCAAATTGAAAACGTTTTGAGGAAATATATCAGTACGTTTGGTTTCTTATTTTTATAGGCTCTACTAACCTTCTTCACAGTGGAATACGTCACCTGCAAAACCTGCCGATCCCCAGATACCGAACTCAACAAAGGAGAGAACAGATTGTTTTTCATCACCTGCAATTCTTGCGGATCTAGACGTTCCGTCACTGCCATCAAGACCGGTTTCTCTGCACAAGTCGGAAAGAGAAGAAGACAACAAGGTTAGAGTGTTGAGGCAAAGACTCGGGGGCGTACACCAATTCTTAGTTAGCCATTTGCTTCTCTGCGCAGGTTGGGAGGAGAAAAAAATAACAGATATAGAGTACTTAGGTCGAAATTTGGGATTTTACATTATGAGCTTTCCTTTGGTGTTTTCAAACAAGATTTGATAGTGACATGATCATTTCGGGTTCAAAATTTCACATCAGATATCCTGAACAAATGGTTCTTCCAATTTAACTACTTTTCAATGCTTGAACTCGGATCTGAAGATTTTATAACTGATGTCTGTATCCCGTAAGACGGGGAAGTGTAGGTAGGTAATAATGACTGATAAACAACTTGAAGAATGCCAGAACAATTTGAATTTGGATTCTCTTTTTAAAAATCTAGCTTCGGGGACTGTTTGTGCTCTTATCTGAATTATGTCTCAATGGGAATGATGATGGGTATATAGATTTTTAGATCCCGGATCAAATTAGAGAAGCTAGTTAAGAATAAAGTTTTAAGGGTCATCGTAGGACATGTTGAGGGTTCTCTATCCAAGAATACGTAGTAGAGTACGCGTCTTATGATCGCTTTAATCACCAATAGCTATAGATAATCAAATGGATGATGGATATTTCGGGGTAGTTCTTTCATAAGTGTGTCTGGCAAGGGAGTGTATGGTGCAGGTGGTTGGACGAAAGATGCGCGGAGAGGAAGTGTGGTGTGCTTGGAAAACTATGGATTGTGAATCGGATAACACTTTTTGTGATATATGAATACATGCTGGTGTTGAGGTATGTATCTATGTGCCTGTGTGAGTACTTGGTAGGTAGCTAGATAACGCAGAAACACCTAGGTAGGGCTGTATATTAGGTGGTATCGATGTGCTACAAATATCTTTCAGAAATAACATTAAGAAACGATAGGTTCTCTACTACCAATAGATGAATAGCCAAAGAAAGAATCTGGAATCTAGATTTACAATATCAATATGTCTAATTATTTTCTATACATATCCATACCTAGGTAAACAGCACCTAACACATCCATTATCTAGTCTCCCCATCTCACCCATTTGGTGAAGATATAATACTTAAGCGCTCGGGAATTTTTAGGGCTCCATTTTTGATCGATATCAATATCGCAAAGTCCAAGCTTCTATTTCCATCCTGGAAGAATGATTGGTACGCAGAGGACAAACGAAAATAGCACAGCCCGCACCAAGAACCGCGCTGGCCAATCCGGGGCGTGAGGGCGTGAGATGAGGTGTGGGAGCTTGGGTGTGAGATGCATGGGATTTTGCATGGGAGAGGAGATGCGTGATGGGTGGGTTTATATGATGAGAGGGAGCTGCTGTTTTTTTTGGGGGTTTGCGATGAGATGATGTTTTGAGTTTCTGTTGGATTTATGATTGATTGATTGATTGAAGTTCTTGTAGAATTCGTGAGTTATTGAGTATTGAGTATTGGATTTATTGAATTTGGACTGGGATTTGAACTGGTGAGTGAGTACTGCGTGTTGAAGAGTTTGGATGGTAGAAAATAAGTGCGGGGCAAGCTTCAGAGCTTCATGAGATGGAATAAGATGGGCTGATATGCTGACTGGAATTCAGCTCTGCAGTTACAAGTACTCAAGCAAAGCCTGATATAGCTTTGATTTTTTCGATTGTTTGATTCTTGAAGTCATTCAAGATGTCCACATATTATCCTCGTAAGTATTTCTGGTTAACTTGAGAGAAATGCAACTGCTAATACTTTGATAGCTCCTCCTGGAGGTAATGGAGGTAAGGAGATCACTCATATGCTAAGAATTTACCTCTGACCTTCCACTACAGCTTCCGCTCCCTCTCCCCAACAACAACAATACGCACCTCCACCGACCTCTCCTCCTCCAAACCAGACCTCATTCCAATACGCTGCTCCGCCAACCTCTCCACCACCAAATCAAACCTCATTTCAATACCCTGCTCCTCCTGTTTCTCCTCTAGCTCAATCCTCGCATGCCTACTACCCTCCTCCCCCTTCCACCTCTACAACAAGCTATACCCCTCCTCCTAACCCTCAACCTACTCCTCCCCAACAACAACAATATGCACCTCCCCCAAATTTCTCTCATCGTCCCTCTTATTCCGGTGGCCAACATACTCTTCCCATTCATACACCACCACCCCAACAATCCCAAGCCTACGCTTCTTCCTCCGCGGTTTCCCCCCAAGAAACACATCATCCCAACTTTGCACAACCAAGCTCCAATCCCACTACAAATACATCAGATTATCCGCCCGAAAAACCAGCTCTCAATACAAGTCTCACGACCAATTTGGATCATGGAGCGCCCAGCGCAGCACATTTCGTAGGAGCAAGTACCACGCAAGATGATGTGGGAACATTCAATGGGGGAAGCTATCGCGTTAGTCATAGAGATACGAATAGTATTGTGACGATTCAGTTAGCGATGGGATGTCCATTGACTGCTAAACCTGGTTTGTTTTCCATTTTTGAGTCTTTCGTCGGATAATGTGATGTTTATTTGGGGGGAGAGTAAAAGCAAAGAGAATAAATCATAGCTAACCCAATCAAAGGCGCAATGATCGCAATGACCCCCACCATAACCCTCAAAGGCGCCATCAAATTCTCCATGAAAAAATTAGTCATCGGAGGCGAAATGGCACATTCGACGTTTACCGGCCCGGGAGAACTTCTCCTCGCTCCCTCGGCCCTAGGCGATATCACGAATATTCGACTTACGGGTAATGAACAGTGGAGTGTAGGACGGGATGCGTATTTAGCTTCTACACAAGGTGTTATTAAAGAGTATAAGAGACAGGGAATTGGAAAAGCGATGTTTAGTGGAGAGGGTTTGTTTGTTTATAAAATTAGTGGAGTGGGTTTGTTGTGGATTAGTAGTTTGGGCGCGATTATTAGGAAGGATGTATGTTTCCCCCCTTTTTTTCTCGTCTCTTTTATTGCCCTGGCTGGTCTTATTTTCTCCTTCTTCCACATGAAACCTAATAACACGGAAATAGTTACAAGAAGGCGAACGATACATAGTGGATAATGGACATCTCGTCGCTTGGAACACAAAATATGTATTGGAGCGCGTGGCTTCGGGAGGAATTATTAGTGGATTGAGTAGTGGAGAGGGATTGGTGTGTAAGTTCACGGGACCGGGGACTGTTTTTATTCAAACGAGAAATCCGGTCGCATTGGGTCAGTGGATTGCGGCGCATTCGGGTGCTTGAGTAGGGAGAGAATGAGAGGGGTGGGCAAGAGGAGAATAGGGTAGGGCGAGAAGGGAAGGGAAGTAATTGTGGATTTTGATGGTTTTCTGCGCGTTTGGAGATTTTCGAAAGCCTGAGGGCATATGATTTGATTTGGTTCGATTTTATTTTATTCTATTTGATGATACCTTGTCCTTCGTTTTGACGACTTTTATTTTACGAGTACTATTGGGGAGTTTTACCTTGAATATCAAAAAACACTATGATATTTTTGTGTCCATTTTTCTCTGAAGTTAATTTAGGTGATGAAGATATGTGAAGAAATGTGTCTTAAACTACTTGCCATTCAATTGCTACTTGGCTATATCTTTCTTGAGTGAGTGAGTATATTGTAGCTAAGTTTAGTCTTTCTCGTTATCGTAACGTGATTGGATGAACAACCAAGACAAGAAAGACTTAAATACGAATGTCAGTAGGCAGATCAAAAACAGTAATACTCCAAACTCTAAATCCTACCCACCCCTCTCCCTCTCCCTCCCTCCCTCCCGCACCACAAAGACCAGCAAAAGCTCCCTCCCTCCCTCCCCACCAACTCCCTCGGACTCCCCACCTCCACAACTCTCCCCCTTTCAAGCACAACAATCCGCTCGCTATCCATAATACTATCCAATCTATGCGCCACAACCATATCGTATATCCTCTAAACACCTCTCGAATAATTCTCTGCATCATCTCGTCGGTTTCCCGGTCTTTATTACTTGTTGCTTCATCGAGGAGTAGGATACCTCCTTTTTCTGATCTATGTGATGCGGCGAGAATAACGCGCGCGAGTCCGAATAGTTGTTTTTGTCCTTGGGAGAGGAAATTAGAGGCAGCGATCGTATTGAGACCGTTGAGTGGGGAGAAGAGGGACCAGAGATGGACTTTTTGAAGATCAGCGATGAGTTGGGGATCGGTGTATTGTGTTAGAGGATCTAGATTGTAGCGGATGGTCTGTTGGATTAAAAATGTATCTTGAGGGATAATAAGGAGTTGTTTGCGAAGAGTTTGGTGGTTGATGTTGGAGAGGTCTATACGTCTATGATGATGGATCCGCTAGAGGGTTCTAAAAGTCAGAGAAGAAAGGATAGTAAGGGACTTTTGCCGCTGTCGCTGCCGCTGAGACCGCAGAATCCGATTTTCTCGCCGGCGTGGATGGAGAGGGTGATGTTGTGGAGAGCGACTGTTGAGGGGGTGTAGCTAGCATTCAGGTTGCGGATTTCGATGCTGCCATGCTAGGGCTAGGTGGGAGAGAGGGTAATAGGAGAGAGGGGTTTGGGCTCTGAGGGGGTGTGATGTGCGAATTCTCGAGTACGTGACATAGCTCCGGGGGAGACTTCTAGTTGCATCCAGTATTGGAAAAGAAAACTGAGAGTTTTGTTGAAACTTAGAATATTGTTGAAACTTAGAATATTGTTGAAACTTAGAATATTGTTGAAACTTAGAATATTGTTTAATAAAAAGCTGAAAGATCCTACATTAATGGATTTGCATAGTTTGATAACTAATACTATAATAATGATAACTAGAACAACAATTACTAAATCTAATACTAATTAAAGTTATCTCTAAATACAATCAAAAAGATAATAAGGGACTTGAAATCTTTCGACCTTTTCAATCATCAAATCTGTAGATTATTCTTACTACTCTAAAACTCGAATACTTGAAAATCTATTTAATGTTTTTATAAAGTAAGAATATATTGGAATTCTCATTTCTAGTTCAATAACTTGAAATTGTTGAGATGTTATTCGCTAAGTGATCAAAAATGATAAACGTGTTGGCCTAAAGGCGAGAAAAATCAGCAGGCGATTCGAAATGACTCACTTCCGAGAAACTGATGTCAAACTGCTCTGGCATATATTGGAGGATTAAAATCTGAACCTTCTGACCGAGTGTAGCGAAGAGCCCAGCAATTAACAACGGGGTGGCACATCTAATCTGTAAGAGATCATGAAATGATCTATTAACCACGTGCCTGCTGCTATTGGGCTGCGTTCTGGAGCCCGAGATATTGGTATATTCTGAAGCAGAATCAGTCTCCGGCTCAGAAGCCGATGATTAAGCTACGCTACTTCCCCCGTTGGAAGGAGGAGGCTTAAGCTTAAAGCCAAGGACATCAATGCGAGACCAACCAATTGTGTGACATAGTTCCCCAAAGATTTCATCGTTGCCGAACTTAGTTCAAAGCCCAGGATTGCCACTACCAAAGCTGTACCGTGTATAAAAGAGAAGACTGAGACTCTTTGAGTTGATGATGTGACGGCTGCTGCAATCGTCATGAGAATAGCAAGGGGCACACTTGCCCCGCCCCCAATCAAGGTTAATACGGGACCTATCCAAACCAGGAACAAGCCAGATCACACCAGTAGTCCACGTTGAGCTCAGTACCAATCCCAGATTGCCCAGAAACAGAATCGATCACCGACCGTACTGATCTGCCATGCTGCTGTAGATACCAGACAAAAGAAGTATGGGTAGGTATTCCAAAAGGTAGAAGATATATAAAATCAGCACCAGCTCACTTACAATTGCATAATCTTTTTGACAATTTATTATAAGTTTATTTATATCCTGAGATACCTTGATGCATAGTTGTTCTTTATAAGATACAATTGATGCGATTAGAGGAATCGTTCGCATCACCATACCAGTTTCGAAAGTGAGTTCCAGAACACCAACCAGGCTCCAGACCAACCACTTGAATCTCAATCTTCGAATAGAGAACTATGGAGGGTCCTGCGTCCCAGAAAACTGCAAAAGAGGAGTTTGCACATCTTCTTGCCTCTGTTGGTTGCGGCTGCCACGCATCATGTGTTTCTCTGATCTGACAGATGAGATTTTGAAAATCGACTTGTAAGCATAGGTATTTGTGGAGCGAGAATCTGAAGTTTAGACGTATGGATGCCCACAGAGCACCCTACGGATAACTTAGTCTAAAAACGGGTTATACATCCGCCAGATGGAATGAGGGTCGCGCACCGTTTTCCGATCTCAACCAAGTGACAAGGCAAACAGGCAAGACTTCATGTCAACGGGCCGAATATTACCCGAACGAAACGGTAGAATAATGTGGAATCAAGTAACGTGATGAAAGCAACATAACTTTCATGATTAATAAATAAAACTCAATCGACCAAGCTTCTCTAAAGAATTAAAAGCTCGATATCCATCAATGAAAATTAATCATGAATATGTCTCTGAGTATCAATTCAGACATGTAGCGACGTCATTTTCACGTGACTTGCAAACGTAGAGAATACGGAAGGCACAAGCGAGTTGAATCCAGCACATGCAAACTAGGAAACAATACTACCATTTCAGGCAAGCAAAGGCAAACGCGACCTCAAAATTTTCGCTCTTCAACAGCTTCACAGATCATCACATTAACCAAAAATCTACCTTCATCCATAAATATCAGAAATCATTGCAGAGAACACAAATCTTGATAGTCAGAAACGGTCACATCGACAAAGCCACAATTACATATGGCGACTTCCGATGGGGTTGCGGTGGAGGTGCACGGGACAACTCAGCTTCTAAATTCTATTTTGAGTTGGTACGATGAGACTCGTCCTATGTGGATTGACCTTGTAGGAGATTATGCTGGAAAAGAGTTATTTCTTCTTGAGGGAGACTCTCTTTTAAGAGAATGTTTCGCAGATGAAAGGATTGATTTTCAAGGTAATGATTTTATGTTCCTATTGATGTGCTGCTCTTGGATTCCCCAGGTATTGATTCTCTTCGGAGAATTTCATATCGGGGATTTTACCAAGTGCTTGGAATACGTGCTTTGAGTACATAAGATGTGCAACATCACACACCAAGGATGAAAGTTTCATGTCGTTATGAAGACGACATCAGAGCGACATAAGGATTCCTAGCAATCACGTCATTCACAACAAGGACTATGCGCTAACAATATCTTTCAGATGGATTTCAACTGCTTCATGCCGTATACGTAGTGGAGCGATTCCTTGAGAATTTAGTCAAGAGACATTGCAACTTCCACATTGCTTTCTTCGAGGGTATGTGTTTCCCCTCCAAAGCTATGCTCTTGATCTTCTGAATATCATTCAAAAATTCAAATCCTTCATTATCCTTGGGGCCGATTAATAATTCTAACTTGAATGGTAGAGAATCGGCAATTATGTGTACCACCAGGAGTGAAATCCACACATCGAGCTCGGTATCTCCTCGCTCGAACAGCGATTCGACAACATTTACACCACAAATTACCATTATCACATCCAGAGATTGTGGTCAATACTTTCCCTTCCTTGGAGAGTAAAGAGTTCTCCAGTTATCTTCATGCTACACCGATACACTTTGTCATGTCGCACGACGGGGCTGCAACGGCAAAGCAACCTCGCTCATCGAAGGAAGAAAAGACCATTCTTCGAGGATTGATATGGTTTTTTTAATTCCCACAAGCTCAATATTGCTCTCATTAATCGCATAGAGTTCAGAGATTCAAAGGTTTTCACCATGATCGTGGAAAGCATGACTGTCTCAAGCCAACGCAAGCTGCTTATTTGTTCTAAGTTCACCAAGGACATTGAAGAAGCTCGTATGAAATTTGCCAAAGATTCACAATCGGATAACTCTAGTGGAATGCCTTCCGTTGACGACGAAATCACCCAAAAGTTGTCTGCTGCGTCGGCAAAGATTCACTTGAGTGAAAGATCATGCGTTTCTGTTCTTTCTGCTTCTCATATTCTTAAAGAAAACACATCTGACATATTTTTTGCTTCTGCCCTCATTTTACACAGCGCTATGCTTAATCAAATCCCTCTTTCAAAGCGTCGATTCCCATCTGTTGAATTCGACAATGACTTCGAAGAGGAAATTACTAGTTTCTTGTCCTTATTTGCAGATGTTGCTCATGTTATTCTAAACAATCCGATATGGAGCAAATTTGTTGAAACCAATGATATCACAAGAGATCCTCATGATCTTGTCGATGGCCGATTATTCCGTGTCGTCATACAAGCTATGTGCGACGAATCATTAGACCCCTTTCCTCAGTCGATTCAAGATGAATGGCTCGTACTTTGCAATCTGACCAAGGAACTTTCGAGTCAAGAACTTTCCTTGGACAAAAGCATTGATTTATCCTCAGTCAAAGTTACCCCGTGCGAAGATTCCGACTCAAGCTCGGATGATCTTACAGTTTTACCCTTCACTAATGCTGTCTTCAACAAGCATTTGGAGTGTATCCATGTTGAAACAGATTCATCTCTGTCTGCACAGTTTGGTACCATGAAGCTTTACAGAGAAACAAGTCATTGGCATAATCACAAAAAGCCTCTTATTACAAAAGCTCCTGTGGCACAGAAAGTGTCCAAATGGCGGTAAGTAACACTAATTCAAGCTTAATCTCTAGATGACCCAATTGCAGTAAAGCAGATACTAATTAGTCTACAGTAATCCCCTTCGGACAAATCAATTTTATATGAGTGAAATGACATCATACGCCGCGAGTTTGACAGGAGCAAAGGGGAAAGCACTCGAACCGGAGACAATCGTGGTGGGACCCAAGCAACTGGTCAAAGTTGCTGAGGAGAAACCATCAAAGACGAGTAAAGTCGAAAATCCAGCTCCTAAATCGAAGAAAGAAGCCCCAGCTGATGTATGATTCTTTTGCGCTTGGTCAATTGAATAAAGCTGACAATAATTTCTAGAACAAAAAACCTGCATCAAATGCTAAGAAAGGCACTAAAAAGGGCGGTGGGCTTTCAGCTGCTGATCAGATCCGTGCTGCAAATCTGGAAAAGAAAGGAGATACAGAGACTGATAAAGCTTTCCTTGCGTGGTCTATGATTATGAAGGATCTTGATTTGACTTCTAACGATGAAAATCGCTATCTCCGCGCCAAACAATATCTTAACAATCTTGATAATGCCAGAACAAAAATTCTTGAAGGAGATATCAACACTTTCATCCTCCAATGCCTACTGTCTTGGTGGGCAGGGTACTGTAAGCAGAACAAGAAAATTAATGGCTACCACGTAGTCGCACTGATTTGGACTACTGTAAGATCTATATGCACTACCAATGCACCTATCACGAAAGAGATCGTTCAGCATGTCGAAAAGATATGCAAATTGGTTGGTATTTCGGACGCTTTCTCATCTCCGAAAGTCCTTGGTGCTGATCGAAAGCTGTCTTTTGCCTTCAAGTATCCTCCTCCAACTTTGTCCTTGAAAATTGATATTTCTCAATCAGAATTTCAGCTGGAACATTGCGGTCCTTATATGGACAGAATGCTTGATGCAAAGCCAGATCCACGTGTTTCTAGCTTCGTTCCTGATGGTTGGCAGAGAGATGTGCTCGATCAATTAGATGCCAATAAGAGTGTATTCGTAGTAGCACCAACTTCTGCTGGTAAAACGTTCATCAGTTTCTACGCCATGGAACAAATTCTAAGAGCCGATAACGATGGAGTTCTGGTTTATGTTGCACCAACAAAGGCACTTGTCAATCAGATTGCAGCCGAAGTTCAGGGTAAGCACTATCGCATTTGTTCCCCTTTCCTCTCTCAACTTTGTGAGATTATGGAGCAAAAAAGAGATTCCTTCTTCCAATTTTTGTCTTTTTATGAAAGTTGCCACTAATAATGCTATTTTCTAGGTCGATTCTCCAAGAGATTTCCTCAAGCCGGTAAAGGAGTGTGGGCTATTCACACTAGAGATTATCGTGTGAACAATTCTACAGGTTGTCAAATTCTCGTCACTGTACCCCATATTCTTCAGATTATGCTTCTATCACCAACGAATGCGAAGTCGTGGGCTCCAAGAGTGAAGCGTATTATTTTCGATGAAATTCATTCTATTGGACAATCTGAAGATGGTGTGGTATGGGAGCAACTTTTGTTATTATCACCATGCCCTATCATTGCTCTTTCTGCAACTGTGGGCAATCCTGAGCAGTTTGCGGATTGGCTAGGAGAAACTCAAAAGGCGAATGGATCCGAGTTAAAGATGATCAAGCACTCAACCAGATACTCCGATTTACGAAAGTTCATGTACGAGCCACCTAAGAAATTCGACTTCGAAGGTCTCGGAGACTCATTCGGTCTAGGTTTGGGTCTGGATGGTCTACAAGGCTTCGAATCCTTTCACCCTGTGTCTAGTTTGGTTGATCCTTCAAGAGGAATGCCTGAAGATCTTGCACTTGAACCTAGAGATTGCTTATCGCTATGGAAAGCCATGGTCAAACATCAAAGCAAGGAGTACAGTGTCCCTGAATCATTAAAACCTGAAAAGGCATTGCCATCCTGTATTCGAAAAGCAGATATTTTTGCATGGGAAAAGAACCTTAAGAAAGTATTGCTTCAATGGATGACAGAGTGTCAATCACAATTTGCCAATGTGGTAAAGGAACTGACTCCAGAAAGTGTTGAGACCAAGAACGATGTTTCAATTGACAGCATCTCGGATTCTGCGACTAAGCCCATTGACCCATTAGATCTACAAGCTACAACTCTGCCATTACTATATCAATTGCACAAGCGTCGTGCCCTACCAGCTATATTGTTCAATTATGACCGATCTGCTTGTGAGAGCATTGCAAACACTCTATTGAACCAGCTAGTTCAATCGGAAGAACAATGGAAGAAAGGATCAGCTTGGAAAAAGCGGATGGACGAATATGAAAAGGACCAGGAAATGAAGGCAAAGAAAGGTCGTAAACTGGTCAAGTCATCCAAGAAATCTACCCAAGATGACGAAGGTGGGTCAAAGATGGACCGAATGCGTGAGGATGCAACAGATGGATCTTCTTCCTTGGATCTCTTCGATCCAACTGCACCCCAAGCTGATTTCTCATTTGCTGATCCAAAGCGTCTGCAAAAAGAAGAACTCGATGGTTTCATCCGACAACTTCGTCGCAAGGAAATTAGAGAAGACTTGATCGATTTGCTGAAGAGAGGTATCGGTGTGCATCATGCTGGTATGAACCGAAAATACCGACAGTGTGTAGAAATGTTGTTCCGTAAAGGTTTCTTGAGAGTTGTCATTGCAACCGGTACACTCAGTTTGGGTATTAACATGCCGTGTGCCACTGTTGTATTCTCCGGAGACTCTGTGTTCTTGACTGCCTTGAATTTCCGTCAAGCTGCAGGTCGTTCAGGTCGTCGTGGTTTTGATCTACTCGGTAACGTTGTATTTCAGGGTGTCTCTAGAGAGCGGGCAAGTCGCCTTCTCAGTTCTCGACTTCCTGAGCTTACAGGTCACTTTCCAATCACGACAACATTGGTATTACGATTGTTCTCCCTTTTGAACGATTCTAAAAACTCGCCATATGCTGTTAGAGCTATCAATTCCCTTCTTTCTCAGCCTAGACTGTATCTTGGCGGTCAAAGTTTCAAAGAGCAAGTTCTTCATCATTTAAGATTTTCTATCGAGTATCTACGCAGGAACGCACTTCTTGGTCCCGGCGGTGAACCCGTCAACTTCACCAGTTGTGTTTCGCATCTTTATTTTACCGAAAATTCGAGTTTTGCATTCCATGGTAAGTTTTCCCTTCTACTTCATGTAAGTTCAGTGAAGAGATGCTGGTACGCGAGTGCGACCTTCCATTTTCATTAATATCTCTCTTAACTGAGATTGTGCGGTTTTGTGTTAAATTCAATTACAATTTGTATACTAACGGGTGCCAGCTCTTCTCAATGGAAAATACTTTCATAAGCTCTGTGCAGATATTGACACCAACTCGGACGAAGTACTGCGTACAATGGTTCTCGTATTGAGTCATCTATTTGGTCGTAGAGTTGTTAGAGAAGTCGATGATCCCGAAGAGGCAGAGAAAATCCACCGTTCACCATCGAACGTGTACCTCGACCCCATGCCAGAAGACGCAGCTAACATACTTCGCGGTCATAATAAGAGTACTTTAGATGTCTTTTCGACATACGTAAAGACGTTTGCCGAGCAACACATTACTGAAGACGAACATGCTTTGCCATTTACTCAAAGTCCAGTCGGTCCAAATGAAACAAGCAAGACGAGTGGAAATACGACCCTTGATTTCCTACCTTCTTTGCCTAGTCCGCACGCTAGATCGCCATTTGTAGCTCTATCTGGTCTAGGTGACTCTTTCACTACTATTGAAGATCTTTGCAGCTCCACTCGCGAAGGTGTCTTCCTTGAAGCAGCGGTAATTCCACATCTGGAGCTTCACCCCGATGAAACAAGATCACCTTTAAATTCATATCTTCTTGATTTCTTCAAGCACGGTTCTCTAAAACCCCTCGAGGACGCCAACGGTATCCGCAGATCAGACGTCTGGTTCGTACTTAATGACTTCTCCATGGTACTAGCTACAATCGCCACGTCCCTTGCCCTACATCTCGGTCTAGGTCAAGATACAGATTCAGAACTACTCGATGTAATGGGAGCAGGAGATTCCGTTGAGAATGAGAATGATGAGAAGATGGCCGAAGATTCCATTCCTCAAGCTGTTTCTGGACCATCCAGTGAAGTTCAACAAGCTCAGCCAGTACGCAGAAAGAAGGTAGTCGATGATTGGGATGCTGGTGAGGATAGATTGGCTGCTGAAGAGGACTATTTGGAGAAGGAAAAGGAGAGTGGTGCGGGTGCAACAGATGATGAAGAATATGAGAAGTTGATGACTGTTTATCGAGCATTTAGGAAGTTGAAGACGGAATTTGATGAGAAGTTTAGAGCTATTTGGGCTTAAAGGGGTGAATTTATGGAAGGGATGTATGGATTGGTCAAAATTGTTTTGATCGTAACAAGAAATCACATTCCTGGTTTGTAATTTCTATCACTGGATAAATTGAAAACCTTTAGAAGAAGAAAAAATCAGTAGAGTTTCTTTAAGTGGTTTACTTTGAAGTAGCATGATTTGACTGCAAATTACTACAGTAAAAACGCCTCAATTCAATCGTGCCAGTGTCTTTTTCTTCAGAATTTATATCGATTGACCGTAAGAACCCCCAACAGAAGAGCCATGAGGAGAACCGAAAATGTTTTCTAGTTTCATGCAAATGATATTTACCGGTGGTGCAACGCACGTATAGTGAGTGCATTGCCTACTAGGTAAATATTACAATGCCAGAGGATCGTAGCTTGCATTGTAACGTGATCTCGGCCAGAGAAGTTTCTTTCGCCATGGTGACTTCAGTGCGGAGCACGCCGAAGAAGCCGGCCATAACACAACACCCGCGCCTATAGCAACCCTTGTATTGAGAATATGCACGTAATGTAACACGGCTAAGATCCGATGGGATAAAGACACATTTTGGTATTGACCGAAGAAGCCCTCGAACTCGACCTATGTCGAACCATCGTAGTAGTGGAATTGCCGTTTTTGATCATTAGGATCTGGGCACATTCATACCCCACGTTTGCGGGTGAGACTAGGCCTTTCTATTTGACTTTGTTCTTAAATACCACCGAAATCCTTCTAGATATAGAACTATTGAAATTTGAAGCTCATTCTCTTACTCTGTACGGTGTAGTCGAACGTTGTGATCAACAACGGGGTCCGGACCCCTTCAACCTTAATATGACGTCTCATCTACGTAGGGCAAGAAGTAGAAATGCCATCATACTTTAGGATCTGGATGAACTATTCGATCTCGACTAAAGTTGCCTTAGAATATGATCCCGGATGTTATAGTTATCTGCCAAGCCACTTTGAACTCATCGAAGGAACTATATGGGAAAAAGGTCACTCGACTCTTTTCTGCGATGAAATCTAGAACCCTGTTTGATAATTACCAGATATTGACGACTGTTGCTCATGTCGTAGTAACCGTATATCAAAAAGTCAAGAAGATAGGCATTTCTACTATCAATGGTAACTTTCAACCTTGCCTGACAAATCAATCACGGCCGAATCCCGCCGTAATCTGTGACATCTTCATGGTCGAAACATAATTTTTATCCAAGAATGAAGAGAGCGCAGAACATGTTACATACCTATGTATACCTAGGTACAGTACAAGAATACATCAGTATCAAGCTTCAATGTTACTCCTCTTGTTTGCGGGGAGTTTTTTTAGGGCACGCGGGGAAAGTTTTCTTACATAAGCACACTAGAATGGTGCTCTCTTGGCCCTCGGCTTTTAACGGATATGCAAGGGGTGAAGCTTTATTATTTGCTGTTTAAGCTTTCTCCAACTTTCTCCAACTTTTACACCCAAGCAAAACTGCCGAAGTTGAGAAATTCCCCAGTTTCTCAGAAGAAGAAAAATCCTTGAAGCATCATCACCAATAGAATGTTGTTTCTGTTTTGCGTATGGAGAGTCTCTAAGATTCTATGACCGAGCCAAGAGAGTTTAATTGGATCCGTTGCCATATCCTTTGGAGAAGTCGCTCAGGATTTGCGCACCACCTTCCTAAATCGCTGACAATGACCTTTTTAGTTGGTCGTACAGTATCAAGAGAACCATCGGTAGCATGAGCTTTCCTTCCTGCTTAGTCCCATTGCATGTGTATAAGATGGGTGAGATCTGCTGCTCACAGGTCTTTTTCATTTCTTCTCGTCTGTCCTACTTTACTCTTTCTCATTTCCTGTACCTACTGCATATAAGCATATATGATTGAGAGATATCTTTCAGCATCCTAATCTCATATATCAACATACGCAGAGCATATACTTCAAAGTATCAGAACTTCTCAATCATGGCTTGGGGTGTAGGTAGAAAACGCGAAAGATACTATGGCTACAAGGGGAAATCACTGAATCGTTTGATCACCATTGTTTCTGGGATAGATTTTTTGTGAGTGTTTATTTTTCTTTTTCCTTTCCATTCGTTTTCAGATTTTGCATTACGCAGCAAAACAAGTACTCAAAATCTGCTACTGTGCAAGATTGTGGAGACGGCCCGCTCTGGAGAAGGCGGAGGCGGAGGTGGGGTTGAATGCTACCATCGAAGGTTACCTTCCTTATGACGAAGACGTTACATTTCCGATATTTTTCCGGTTTGAGTTGCGTAACAAGAATTCACAGCTAATTCATTCACAGGCTTTTTGGTTACGATCAAGGTGTTATGTAAGTTTGCATTTCAAAAGAATTCCAATTCGCGATGGGCGAAATAAATGGCACATCAAGATTGAGATCTCAAGTATATAAGCCTCAAGGACCATTTGATGATTAAATCTGATATGGTATTTTGTAGAGTATGCTTAGTCTTAAATTCAATATTGGTGTGCGGTTTATTCCGTCCATGATTTGCAATCTGACAAAAGCCCCAAGTAATTGAGCTAATATTTTAACAGGGGAGGATTGTTAACTCTCCCATCTTTCGTAAAAACATTTCCGGAAATCGACACAGTTAATAATCATTCATATCAGACGGCTCTTGATCAAGGTTTAGTAGTGGCCTCTTACAATCTGGGTTGTTTTGGTGGTGCCGTTATTACTATCTTTCTTGGAGATCGTCTTGGTCGTCGTCGGATGATATTCCTTGGTTCCTCAATCATGATTGTTGGAGCTATCCTTCAGGCAACTTCCTCTAGTATTGCACAATTCATTGTCGGGCGAGTGCTTACCGGTTTTGGAAATGGCATGAATACAAGTACAGTCCCTACATGGGCTTCAGAAACGTCGGAATCACACGAAAGAGGAAAAATGGTCATGTTCCAGGGTGCTATGATCACAGGAGGTATTGCTTTATCGTATTGGCTCGACTTGGGAACCTCACGGGCGGGAGATAATAGTGTGGCTTGGAGATTTCCAATTGCTTTCCAGATTTTACCAGCTCTCATAATACTCGTGTCTATCCTTGAGCTTCCAGAGTCCCCTCGGTATGTATCTACTCCTATGTTTGGCCTTATTCGATCTAATGAATCTTTTAGTTGGCTCGTCCTAAAAGGTGATATTGAGGAGGCTAGAGCTGTCCTTACAGCACTCGAGGTTCCTTCCAAAGAATCTAGCGACTCCCCAGAGCAAGTCGACGAAGCGGCTGTTGAAATTCAAATCGCACAGAGAGTTGAAATCAAATTGAAGGAGATTACTAGTCAAATTGACGAAGCGGCAAATTCTGGTTGGCGTGATATGTTCACCATGGGCCCAGACCGTAACTTCCATCGCGTCCTACTCGCATACTTCGTCCAAGTCATGCAACAAATCTCTGGTATCAATGTCATCACCTATTATGCGGCTACAATTTTCGAGCAGTATATCCATTTGAGTAGCGAAACTTCCCGTTATCTCGCAGCTGGAAACGGCACGGCATATTTTGCTGCTTCCTTCATTGCTCCCTTTACAATCGAAAAGTTTGGTCGTCGCAAGTCTTTACTACTTGGTTCAATTGGATTGATAGCAAGTATGGTCATCCTCGCTGTCATGACACGCTTGTCAGAAGAGGGTATTGGTGGTAAAAAACCGGGAATTGTCTCCACCACTTTCCTCTTCGTCTTTAACACCTTCTTCGCAATTGGATGGCTCGCAATTCCTTGGCTATACCCAGCTGAGATTGTTCCCCTCAAAATTCGTGCACCAGCTAATGGTTTATCCACATCTGCAAATTGGATTTTCAACTTCATGGTTGTGATGATCACACCAGTTGCATTCAATTCGATTGGTTATAAAACCTACATTATTTTCGCTGTCATCAATGCTGCCATGTTTCCAGCCGTCTATTTCTTTTATCCAGAGACTGCGTTTCGATCTCTGGAGGAAATGGACACGATATTTCAGAACACGACTGGTTTCTTTGATGCAGTTAGCGTTGCAAAGAATCAACCGCATAGATATGGAGCCGATGGAAAGTTGTTGATTGCTCCCGAGATCATAGAAGAAATGTCGGGTGGGGGAGTACTTGTACATAACGATTTTGGAAAAGAAAGTGAAAATGGGACAATAGTCCATAGGGAGAATGTTGCAGATGATAGTGGAGGAAGTACGGCGAGTCCAAAGAATGAGCATGGGGTTGACGTCAGGTAGTTTGTAATTCTGGTGGCTGGATTCTAAAGTCAAGAGGAAAAGGTGGCTTTCTTTATATACCCAGTGTTTACAGTCACCGGTGGTTTAAGGTCTAGAGCTATATTCTTTCTGCTACCAGCTCTTTATTTAGATACCTAACGATTTAAGACTTGTTGGAAAATAGTAATAGCGTTTAGAGTACCCGACTTTCCTTGAAGCTTTCGTGCATATGCTTATGATTGATCGAAATTATGCGGTCTTATATTCCTTCTTCTAATATTGACCGTGAAACGGAAATTAACTTGTTACCTCATCAAGAGCCCCGATTTGACTATTATCGGTACAGTACAGTATTGTAATTGAAATCCCTATATTTTCCCTCATAGTCAAGTCCTGTAGAATAATTACCTACCAGATACTCAAAGCTCGATTGCTTCAAAATTCAAATTGCTAGAAACGTCTTCTCAGAGAATGATTCGAGGACCACACCTATATAGAACCACAGATATACTATTCTGATAACGATACAAATGAATAGTCGATTGAATTATTGCATTCTGAGGACGGTGAGCTATAGGGTTGTAAGCTGTCTAATTATGATAATCCCGTTTCTGCATGTAAAAGAGACTTTGAGATGAATAATAGTACCCGTCATAGGTACTCTTTTCGATAATTGATAACAGATCGAATGATCGGGATTTAGAAATGAAGATTGGAAAGGGATTTTTAGATGCTGCTGATTTATTACTTGCTGTATATACAAAAATTAGAAGGGCAAAACCATACTACTGATATTAATGTTTTCAATGTAAAGGTATTTCTGTCTATAATTCAGTTCTGATACATTGCTTGCCTCGGAATTCTCGAATTATGTTGTTCCCAAGACGGCCCCGCCCCACCATTCCGCTATCCGAGGATCACCCACCGTGTACCCCGCACATTTGTTTAACTCTTCATATACCAACAAAATCTTCCTTCTTCCATCAAATACAATAGGTGGTGTGGTGTAATGGTAGCACGTGACGTTGTGGCTCATCCTTCACAGGATATCTCACGAATGATCCGTTTCAATCTGGGTTCGATTCCCAGCACCGCCAAACTAGCTCAGTTTGGATTGAAAATTAATAAGGTGGTTTGATCCCATCTGATTCCCATTCTTTTTGCAATTTTTTTGTTGCTTTTTGATGAGGTTATATGGTGTGGTGGGGTTGGTGGAGTAGATGGGGTAAGCGAGAAGGTGTGTTTATTTGGGTGCTGGTGGGTGGAAGGAACTACGCGAGTGAAAAGATTGATGATGGATGATTGGAATTTGATTAAATTGATAAGATGACGATATATTGTGAATTTGATGGTTGATCGTAATCGATTTTAATCTGGACAATTACTTCTCGGAAAGTAGATCACAATAAAATGACGGAAACGGTGTTTCAAGATGTTTGTTTCATGTGAAGATCTATATTTTAGTATGTGAAGGGAGGTGGCTTATCATTCATTCTTGGCGGTTGCTGGGAACCGAACACAGATTGATATTGTTTTTGGAGTTCAAATTGTAATGGGTGTTCATCTATATTCTGGATTTCTTGAATAGGTATATATACTGATATTGATTGGTATGATAGAATATTGATTCGAAATTTGGATCTGCTAACCATTTTTGGGTCTTGATCTTGGCTCTGCGAAATCGGATGTGAGTGTTCCTGTTACAGACTAGATGTAAGTTTGTTTGAGTTTGACATATCAGATCATAGCTATCAGATCATGGCATGGCTAGGCTAGCTAGTCATGTCATGTGATCATTGTCGAAACGTGGATAAGTACACACCCTCGGCACCCCCCATGATTGCTAACTGGAACTAGATTCAATCATCTCAGGGATTCGTTTGATCCGGAATATCCTCAGAATGGAGAACGGCAAACGGCAAACGGATTTTATCCATGATCTTATTGATTAGATGGCGGTCACACCATGGCGATGGAACTTTCCCATTGACTTGGTATCCTGAAATTAAATGAGTGTAGAATCTGGAGCTTACTGATTGATGATAAGGGTTCTCAAGGTTGGCATGGGATGATGGGACGTTTAGCGATCGCAACTCGAGTACGCTTCGAGTTAGCTCCCCTCCTCAGCCTTGATGCATAATAACCTTAAATACAAAAGTAATTAGAATTGGATTTAGGAAACATCGATTTTCGCATGGCATTCTTTTGGGGGTGTTTGTAGTCAGTTAACCTCGTGCGCTCAGAACGCCTCAAAAGTATAAAACAACAACCCAGGTGTATTCGAGAATATTGCTGAGTTCGTCCAGAGTTACAAGGTTATAAAAGTCAAATAGATGAGATGAGAGGGCGGATCGAAAATATTCGAGGATCTTACTTGATCATCGGATGTTTGCGAAGGTCAATTGAGATGAATACACGATTGCGAATATGCTCTACCATGACTATGCAAGCAATCTTCTCGCCAAGGAAATCTGGAGGACTCCTTTGTCGGCATTTTCCTCCTCCTATGGGCTGATGTTTATGACTTGGAATATGCATTGGATTTTTTAAGCAGTGCAATGAGTGACATAGCCAAGTATTTCTGGGAAAAAATATTCTCACCATCAAGAGTTTGAAAAAAGTCAAGTATATTGTTTACGGTGGACAAAGTGACTATCCGCGGAGTGTGTGGCCTTTGGAAATCCTTTCTTCTCGTGTCGAGGTAATGCTTTATGGCATGGAGATAATGGAGGGGATAATGTCCGACTCTGGATGGGATTCTGGACAACATGATTAGGGATTACATAAGGATATGCCCAGATTTAAGCCTTAAATCTAAGGTATGTCGGATAATCCCTGTATTAGCTTCAATTTATTCAACTAGGTACTTGTTGTTTTCAACCATTTATTAGCTTTAACTATACTAATTCACTTCAGAATATTGAAAACTACAGTTTTAATTTAAATCTGATTAGAAACGGATTTAAAAATTTAAATGGATGTATAGCAGATGCATTAATTCAAGTAGTTGTATATCGGTTCTGAAAACCCCCCTTTTCCTATACGGTAGGAAGGTCAATAGTATATAAGGACGTTGAAAGTCTCGAGGTATTCTAATATCATCAACTCATCAACTCATCGACTCATCCATTCATTACTCATTCACTCAATCAATTCACTCGCTTCACAACACAGCTTACACTCAAGCAAATCTATCACCAACGTTCCTTCTCTAAAGTTATATCAATAACTTCATTTCAATCAATCATCATGGTTTCATTCAAGACCCTCGCTATTCTCATGCTCTCTGTTATCGCAGTTGATGCCGCTGGAGTCATTGGCAAAGCTGAAGGTTTCGCTGCTTCAGCCACTGGAGGTGGATCTGCTGTTGCTGCATCCCCAAAGGACATCAGCGAGCTTGTTACTTGGCTCTCTGATAACGTTGCCCGTACCATTGTCCTTGACAAGACCTGGGATTTCACAAACAGTATGCTCACAAGAACTGAGAAAGGTTGCACGCCCCTCTCAAACACATGCAGCAATGGTGCCGGACAGGATTCAGTCGATATCAATGGCTGGTGTGAACAGCCTGCAAATGCTGATCAATCTCTTCCCAAGCCAACCATCACCTACAATGTCGCCAGTATTCCTCCAAATGCTATCAAGCTCGGTTCCAACAAATCCATTGTTGGAGTTGGAGCTCTTGGAAAGATTAAGGGTAGAGGTTTCTACATTGCAGGTGCTAAGAACATCATTATCCAGAACGTTGAGTTCGTCGAGATGAACCCCAAGTACATCTGGGGTGGAGATGCTATCTCGGTTGATGGCACAGATCTTTTGTGGATCGATCACGTCAAGATCTCCAGAATTGGTCGTCAATTCATTACCATGGGTCCAGGTGCTTCCAACCGTGTCTCCATTACCAACTCTGAGTTCGATGGTACTACTCTTTGGTCTGCTAAGTGCAACAACCACCATTACTGGACACTTTACTTCACTGGATCCCAAGATACTGTCACTTTCAAGGGCAACTACATCCACAACACCAGTGGTCGTGGACCCAAGGTTGGAGGCTTGCACTCATCCGTCACACCAAATGTCTTCCTCCAAGCTGCCAACAACTACTGGTCCAATGTCGCAGGAAACGCATTCCAAATTGGCGAAGGAGCAAAGGTCCTTGCTGAGGGCAACATTTTCGAGAATGCTCAAACACCCGTCATCTTCGACATTACCAGCAACCCTCTTTGGTCTTCAAGCAGTGGTGTTGCAGAATGTGCTTCGATCCTTGGCCGTGACTGCCAGGCTAACAGCCTTGTCTCATCTGGATCTTTTGCTGGAACGAACACTGATGTTTTGACTGCTGCAAAGGGATTGACTCTTGCTGCTGTTGCTGATGTTGGAACCACCAAGGCTAATGTTCTTAAGAACGCTGGTATTGGGAAGATTTAAGCGATGAGTTGGAGAAGATAGATTGGAGGGGCGGCAGGAGGGGAGAGTGAGATGAAATGATCTAGGCAACATATGTATACGAGTCTTTATAATTAGATAGTTTGTTTCTTATTAGAAAGTAGTTTTGGAATTTAAGTTATAAGTTATATTTTATATACTGAGTCTTTAAATAAATTTATAAGTGAATATGAGATGTTTTTTTATTAAGATAATATTTATTAATAAGAATTCAAATACATAGAAAGTATATATATATATATATATTTAATTCGAAGATTTATATTTTTGAAAAAAAGAAAAAAAATTTATAAGTTTTTCAAATAAGTTTTTCAGGTAAGTTTTTTTTATATAAAATTTTATATTTTGTTTTCAAAATAAAGAAAAGAATAATACTTTATATTCTCTTTTTCTATTATTTCAAAAAGATTGTAATAATCTTTTAAATAAGAGATCATTTCAGATTTAAACTATTATCTTTGAGCTATATTTTAAAGAACTCAGCGCAATAGCTCATAATATCTTTTGGTATAAACTAGTAAGCAAGCGAGGGTTCAGAAAGTTATAATTAGTATGTTTATTGAGATAAGTCGTCATCACAAGCTAGTGTGTGTCAGGGATTGTGTGGCTGATGTTGGATTGGTGTAATGAGTGGTGTAATGGTTGGGATAATAATGTGGTGGCTGTCATGGATCTCGGTAGTATGTCCCATCAAGGTTATTCCAAAGACTATGACCATTGGTGGATTCCTCGAGCTTCAATGACCCAAGGGTTTGGTTCGAGTTGTGGGAGGAGTGACTAGCTGAACACCTGCATGCTTGATTACAATAGTTTGAGGGAGAAATGCTATGCACGCGGTTCAATCACTCAAATCTCTGCGTTGAGTGGTCAGAGATGGGCGCCTAAGCAGGTTGATCACAATGACTTGAACTAAATAGATGATCTCTGTCTACTTTAGGCTTACCATACCACAATAAGGTATTATTCTTACCCGGTGAAACTTATATTTCCTCTGTCCTAGATAGTTATAAGAGGCAAGGCAAAAGTAGCTAATGGTTGAGTGATTTCGCACTTAGCACTGGTTTTCTTACTTCCACAACAACACTGCTCAGGCGAACAATACACTACACAATTCCACCTAACTATCACAATCCACTCCTAAGGTCTTCTTCTACAGCAATATGACGAATCAAAACTACTCAGATCCAACTACGGTAAATAGCTCAATGGACTCTAGCCAGACCCAGGTATGCTTGCCTCGTTGCCGTCTCCTGGATGCTAGATTACTAATAAATACTCTATAGATGCAAGACATGGCAAAGACAGTATCTGCTGATCCAATTCCCATTTTCGAGAACGCAGTCCACATTGGTGGTTCTACAGCTGGATCCACTGACAAAGCTAAGATGGGCGGTGATGATAACAACGTTACCCAAGTCAACGAAACGTGGAGAGAATGGCCCCCAATCGTATCATTGGAGAACCTCGCGGAAATAATACAGCTCTCACAAAGACGAACCTTAGCACTCCTATCAGATATAGAACGTATATCATCATTGACAGCGACCATGCCCTTACCAATTAGAACAGTCTGGTCTGAGCCAATTTCTATGCTCTATAATGAGGTACAGCAAGGGCGTGAGGCTATGAAGTCACTTGTCAATAGCGTAATTCGGGAGGTAGATGAAATACGATGTGAAGTTGAGAACTAGCCGGACGATGCGACACCATTGACTACTTGTCAACAGCCTGAGTGAGGCCTTGAGTCCACGCCCAACTTCCGACTCTTCCTCAATACGCAACCTCTCTCAACTTGATCATTGACATCTCTGAAGGTTCAACCCATGATGCAATACTCGAGATAGGTAGAATCATACGATCCATGCGTTCTCCACGTATTATGAAATTTTATACCTCTCCTCTGTCTTTCTGCTTTCTCATTCTGGTGGAATCTTCGAGTCTTTTTTTATCCCTGAAATTTTGCAAGTTGGATTTACGTTTCTTGAGCCGCACATTGGAAGGATGCAGTTTGTTTGGATTGATGAAGTAATGTTAACGGGAGAACGAATTGCACAAAACTGTGGTATCCTATCTTGTATATGGCCAATTGAAGTGAGCCGTGAATGTGTCGAAATCAACAACATTCTCTCAAGTTGAGCTGGCGATGAGATTCGTGTCTCGAACACCCAGGCATTCATCATCTTAGTGATATATAATTTTCATCATTGATATTCTGAGGTACCAATACCCGTCATGTAAACTGTGCGAAAAATGCAAGTAGTCTACGTTCATCGTTATGATGACCATGAACGCCCCACAATATAGTCACTTGACTCACGTCCATCAACAACAAATAACAACCATTTGTACAATTTCCGCAAAATAGAGAAAAACACCTTCAAATCTTCAAATCTTCAAATTTCTCCATGGGAAGAAAAAAATCCTAGAAGAACAAACCAGCAAAACCTTACTAACCCCTTAGTTGGCAGGAGAATACCCCCGCGAGGATATTTTTACTCGTTCGATCTTGGCGTTTTACCACTCTACCACCAGACCGCACCATCTATGCGATCTGGTTGATGGGTTTGATTTAGATTGGTATAAGCCAGAAATGAAATTCGGGGAACGATAGGAATGATTGGAGCGGAGAGGAAGGTAGATGTTAGTTTGTGCGTTTGCTCACTTGTATAAAGCTACATAAGCTACATCTTGCATCATATCATATCACATTTCTTACAATCTCTATAAATCAAAGTCTTCAACATCCGCTTGTTTTGAGAGTGGATGCAAATGTAGGTGGGAAATAAAATAGGGAAAGATTGCTTTGATGCGGTTTATAGATTATGATATATTCAATATTGATTCAAAACACAACAATGCTATGCCGAAACATTAAATTTAGAAAAACGCCAAGCATACGCTCAAATTTAGATTTTGTTCAATATCCAATGCTGGCTAGATAACAACAATGTGGTCAGTGATGATAGACTTCTAAATAGTTAATTGTATCACTATCCAAAAACTAAAAGAACAAATAGAAATGCCAACTAGACATTCTTGATGTGAACAGGTTTCATTCTTTTGCTTGCTTTGTGATGCCGTATGTTTCTACCATAATAGTACAGTTTCTCCCAACTCCAGTGTTTTCCTGCGGTACCGCGCTGTTTCAATAATTTGCATGACCATTACTAGAATTCGACAGTCTCCAGGGAGCCCATTCATCGAACGCATCAATCTGCCCCATATTCTCATTCTGCCGTCCTTTGAACACGAAACAAATCATCCGCATAATGAATATCCTTAATAATGTACGTGCCAGTAATTCAACCCTGAACGCCAAGTCATATCATCTCTCCATTTCTCAACTCTAAACATATACCATTATCTGCCTATCTCCTCTCATCCCGATTTCCCCCTGGTGGAGGCATGCCCGGAAACCCTTGACCACCCGGTGGTGGCATTCCTGGGAAGCCTCCTGGTGGGGGAACTGGGAATTGGAAATTAGGTGGCAAGCCGCCTGGAGGAGGAAATGGCATTCCAGCAGGCATTCCAGGCATACCCGGGAATGGTGGGCATAGGTGGTGGCACCAGGTTGTCCAGGTAAAGGAGGCATTGGGAAACCTCTTGCGCCTGGCGGAGGGAATGGCATACCACCTGGACCAGATGATGGAGGGAAAGGTGGTGGAACGCCTCCAGGGAAATTGGCTGGTGGGAAAGGCGGGAAAGGTGCCGAAGCTGCTGGGTTATGGAGCATAGGATTCGAAGAGGATTGACCTTCGGCGGCATAGGAAGATGTGATGGAGTCGATTACGGATTGGGCTTTTTCGTGACCGATTTCTAGGGTTAGGACAATGGTTTAGCTTACTTATAATTTGGTGATTGTGGAGAGGGAGAAACATACGTTGATAATAATCGACAACATTGCGCAAGTGGTTACGTCCACTGTTGTGAGCTTTACGCACACTCATCGAGTCGTGAGTGAGGTAGACATCGCAATAATCGCCTTTAAAGATGTGTTAGCAAGCTGTTCGCGAAGATGGAGATGGAGCTCGAATAGTCGCAATTCGCACGGCGCGTTGATTTTAAACTTACAGAAGACTGTGAGAGTAGTTAGCATATAAAACAGAATCGCAAATGTTCAGAAACTTACATTTTGGCATTTTGGCGGTATTAAATATCTCAAGTATTGTTATTGTCGTTGAAATTGAAGGTCCAAAGATACCCAAATCCAAATCTAGAAGTTCAAACTTCTATGACACGTGACTCAAGATTTCACATCCCTGTAGAGTACCCCGAACCTTACACGTCGTCTAAATCTTTGGATTACCGCGATCTGGTTCTTGAGTTTCGAGAGCTCCATTTACACATATCTTTCGGAGCCCCTTGTTTTCCACTCAATCGATTCGGCTTTACACATCATGGCATACACAAGGTCATTTCTGCAAGCACTTTGCAGTTTCTTTCTGGTACTAGCAGTTGCGGAAGCACTGAAATTCGATATCGACGCTTATCACAAAGGAGACAAGAAGGCAGAGAGATGCATTAGGAATTTTGTGGCTAAGGATACTTTGGTGGTGGTTACTGCTACCATTGATGGTTCAAAGGGGGATGGCATGCAAGTCGATATGCATGTACGTTTTATGCAATTGGTTGAAGGAGGTCTGGACGCATGCTGACATGAAGGATAGATTAAAGATGCTGTTGGAAATGAATACGGAAAACCAAAGGACATTGTAGGCGAAAAGAGAATGGCCTTTACATCTCATGCCGATGCATCATTTGATGTTTGCTTCTACAATTACTTTACAGCCTGTTCGTTCCCGCCCTTTCTTTATTCTCATCGCAGCCAGTACTAACTACATCCAGCAAACCGTGTTAGCAATCCTCGCCGCCACGTTGAACTCGATATTGATATTGGAGCCGATGCCAAAGATTGGTCTGCCGTTCAAGCTACAGAAAAACTCAAGCCAGTCGAAACTGAATTACGGCGCATTGAGGAAATGGTCGCAGAAATCGTTGCGGAAATGGAATACCTTAGACACAGAGAACAGAAATTGAGAGACACAAATGAGAGCACGAATAATAGAGTTAAATGGTTTGCATTTGGAACTATGGGAATGTTGGTATCATTGGGAGCTTGGCAGATTATCTATTTGAGGGCGTATTTCAGGTATGATTTTGTAATTGTTATGGAAAAGTTATTTGATGCTAATAAATGGGAACAGATCAAAGCATCTTATCTAGATACGAGTACTATGGTTGTTATGAGGATGGCGGCTTTTGGGTTGGGCTTTTTCAGCAAATAAAACCCCTTGTTTTACTAGAGTGCGAAGACATCTGTAAAATGAAATACGATGATAAAAAAGCTATCTATAATCTCAGCAAGAAGCTACTCCTAGTACTTGATTCCTGTCGTATTTTTCATTTTGGTTGATTGAGAGAAAGTCCCCAGAAGTTTGGGATTCATATGTCCCATGTCTTACGCAACTCAACTGCTATATTTTGGGTAGCATCATCATCTCCACGCAGTAGAAGGAGATATAATCGAAATAGTACTGCTTTTCATTCTGTTCATAATATAGTCACAAGTTGTTTGATTGTGTACTTTCTGATCGCTTTTGATTTTGCACCACGAAAGTGTAGCAGAGGACGCAAGTCTCAAAAGGAAAGTTGGAGTTAGGTATCAACAAAGAACCATATAATTTCAACATGCGGTACCAATTCAAATTCGCAATAACGTATCACAATTTTTAATTGAATTTATTAATATCAAAGTGTAAAATCGGATCAACATGAAAATGAGAACCCACGGTTTAGGCCGGCTTATCTTGAAAGGCCATGGTTCCCCGCCTAGTGCAACCACACATTGATTGTTCTATCCGGGTACCGATTCGCTGATAGTTACTGAATCATCACTTCTGCGAGTGTATTCTTTTCAGGCAACATGCAGATCTTTTGGGGGTAAAAACTTTGGGGTTCCTTCGCAGATCAGATTCTCAGCCTGAGAAGGTTGGTCCCATCTTTTCGGCGCCAATTCCAAATCTCTCATACAAACCGGAAATCCATGCCGTCTTTTATGCAGGACCAAGGGAAAGTGTTATTTGAGACAGCTGAATACACCTGAAGATCAGCTGGAAATCGTGGAATGCAATGGGACACAATGTGGACTTTTGTGAATCAAGTTAATGTATTACCCATTGAGGATTGTTTATAAGAAGAATGAAAGTTTCCGAGCTTTTGAACTTCATTGCTTCAACGGCTCCTTCTACATTAACTTTCTCACATATTTACATATTCACATATTCACACACCATCAAGCTATTCAATATGCCACCTCGAACTCCTGCTCAAGTAGTCCAAGACCTCACCAAACTGCCTGCTTATGGCGTTCCATATCAAGTTCCCACTGGGACAGTGGCGTTATATCAGGATCCCAACTACAACCGGTACGAGGTCCGACCATCGCCTCAATGACTACACGCCCAACAAGCGTCATGTAGTCCCAGATGCCCAGTATGATAAGACCAGTAACATATTATGGAACTTAACAATCGGTGTGGTAGTCACTTTAGTTGGTGGCTGGGCTCCAGGAGAGGATGAAAAAAGAGTCGTCGTTCTAAGCCATGGCAATACATGCCTTAATCTTGTCGATACCGGAACAACAGAAGGGTGTGAGTTGTAGACTAGTGGTATCAATGATGATCTCTCCTTTCCTTTTGGAGAAATGTCGATCTAAGCTTTGGTGCCGTCGAACTCTTCGCCGATGGCAACTTCACAGGCAGACGTACTACAATTTTCCTTAGCGAATGGGAATCTGGAAAGGTCCATTCGTTCAGAAATTGAGGAATGAATAATACTTGCTCCTCACGTAAGTCTCATCGATTCGTACCCTGCACTCATCACCTGATTTCAATCCCCAATCTTCTTACTCTAATTTGATATTTCATTATTGGCAATTTTGTTTCGTCTGCAGACATCTTCAATTCCATTTTCTTGTGGAAACACTCCTCTTAACAAGCAATTACTGACTATCCTATCTTGCAGTCCGCTGGAAGTCACTTGGAGATCAGCAAACAGTTACACTATATGATGCCGAAGAGGGTAACGGCACTGCGTACAACAACGTCAAGGGCTGGGGGATATGAAAGAGGCCCCGTATATGTGGGAAGTCCGCTTCAAACGATTGCATAAGCTCTTTCCGATGGGACAGAGTTGTTCCCAAGAAAGAGATTATCGCCCCATTCAACCTCATGGCGAGCAGTGCAGCCAACGCCTCAGGCCTCACCTCCATTTCCGAAGAAGTCAACAACAGTACCGAGGTACAGCCCATAGCTGTATCGCTTAACAATTCGAATTCACAAACCGTTGCTGTGGAAACTTCAGATCAACATGTTGCAGGCATCTCGTCTACATTCTCTCAGATGTTCTCTGCAGGAGCTGAAGGTATTGCAGCATCTTCAACTCAATGGTCTGTATCGGTTAATTATTCCTATACGCGAACCAATACTTCGTCCAGGAGCCAGACCAAAATTGTCAATTTGGATATCACTCTAACCGTCAACGCACTCCAAAGACTAGATACAAGGCTACTTTGCTGGTAACGATAGGCCAGCTTCCTGCTACAGAGTATATAATGACAGCTTAATGTTAATATAAGGATCCAATTGCCAATTTACAGATCGATTATGTAAATAATAGAACTGAGGAGATCCGATTCAGTCTTGCTGGTAGCTTGGTATGCAGAACCTTTATGGATATGCAGACTACGCCACTCTAAATTACTTTGGCCCTTTGGGCTCTGCTCAAGTGCTTATGCGCAGACGTGGAGACTGAAGGATTAACTGTCTCGTACTCTCATTTTTCATTGCTTGAATAGTCTTGATTTTGTTCTCTTTGATGGGGATAGTGAACTGTTGAAGTTGAACCACACTGGGAAAGTTGAACATGTGAAATCACCCATACGCTCAATTAGTTATTCCGTATTTTCTGCAATGAATTTTTACCGGATAAGTAATGGTTTGTCGTTGTGTGAAATTGTCTATTCGAGTAACATATTGCATGGCTTTTGCTGGCTTATATGGATGGTAGTTTAAGACCCTCGCCCCCAGACGGCTCCATTAGAGATCTTACAAAGGTCTACCCTCTCCACTGGTTCACATTTAATACACTCATATAAACTTTGACAACACCATAACCACAACCCCCCGATTATTGAGCAAGAATATCCTGATATAGATTTCTATCATTCTAGCGCCTCTTCCACATCAAATTCCTAACTCCCCATCTCGATATCTGATATAATGGCCCCGAAACTTTCAAGTCCGCACCCGGTGTTCTTTCAATTTATAATAGTCCCCTCTCAATCTACTTATCGCTTCCCATCACGGAATGTTCTTTTCGCACACACCACTCTATCTCAAGCCCCCTCAACTCCACTTTCACGCAATACTTATACCGACATACACTTCCTCCTGCTCACGCAAACAGGACATCGAAAACAAAACCAGGTAGCTCGACGAGGAATAAAACTCAAAGGTCTCATTTACATCCGGAATACAAATATCCAGTCTACCAAACTATGTGGAGAGTTTTGAGTCGTCCAAGTTTGGTGTTGAATACATTTGCTGAGATGTTCAATTAAATACTGATGGTGATGATTTTATTATCATCAAGGAGATGTTTCGTATAATGATGATGATTTTATTATCATCAAGGAGAAGTTCCATATAATGGTTATGTAGATACGAGATGGAATAGAGAGACGATAGTACAAGGTCAGATTGATAGTGGTATTAACGATAGTAATAGAGATGAATTAAAAGAATCGACTACACATCTACGCAAATTACTCTATTACTAATACTAATTATCGAATCATTAAATCCTCCTCTAATAAACAGATAAAGAAAGAAATTTAGTATAGATATATACATATATAGAAGCTTTAAGAATAATCTACTCCATCAATAATGTCACGGGGTGACACTAAGCCCTTTCTGTCCTGTCCTATCCTGCTATATATATAAGAATAAAGTAGAACTTCCAATTCTACCTCCTAGTCTTTTAAATGTTTAACTCAGCAATAAAACTTTGAATATTTCTAAAAGTGATCCTATA